TTCGGTGAAGAACGTGGTGGGGATCGCGGTGGTGATTGTGCGAATGAGGTGGGTGGTGTCGAAGCGCCACTGGCCATCGACATCGCACTTGGGGATGAGTATCCGCTCTTCGTGCCGTTAAACAGGCTGCGAGCTTGCAGATAGCTGGTGTTTGCTTCGTTGATCCACGGCATATCGGCTCGTAGCAGTTTCCTCTCCTTGAAGTAGCTTGGCCGCCCGTCCTCGTATATCAGCTCGAGACGCTGGTCCTTCTCAAACTCGCCCTTGGGTGCGCTGACCCATTCCCCATCGGCTAGCATGGCTACGCTACAATGCCAGGGTGTGGTGTAGCCCGTTTTGGTGTTGAGAAGACTTATGGAGATCTTGTGGTCGCCTATCGATTCGTGTATCGACAATCTCAGGTGGTTTGGGAAGGCTGCTTTGACTGCTCCCGCATAAGCCTGCACCTGATGTCAGTATCCGGTAGCTCAGCCACGTAAGGAGAAGGTTCTTGAAACTTACGTATCCTCTGAAAAGCATCTGCTTGGCTAGATACTTGACGTCCCTCTTGTATTGGTTGCTGCCGCGGTTCTCTCCAAGCGCGAAGATGTGCTTCAGATCCGACTCGAGAAACTTGCGGTAGCCGAGATAAGTCAGTCTCGTATCCGCATTCTCCCTGATCTCTTTGTCGATATCGATATCCGGCCTTCCATGCTTGTTCAAAAGCAGTCGCCTGAAGTTGGTACAATTGGCGACGTAGGTGATCTCTCGCAGCTTGTCCGGGAGCGGAAGGTCAAGTATGTCCTTCAAGCGAGAGAAGGCAACGTGGGTGAACTTCTTCTCCACTGCCATCTGCCGCAGAGCCTCGCCATAGATCCATGTCTCACGGTCAGATATCGATAACAAGTCTTGTTTTATGCATTAGTAGAGAACATCCGTAACCATCATACATACACATACCGTTGTAGGTGATGCCATCAGATATGATGGTGACTCTGGCTCCGGGCTTGTAGACATCCTTGATCCTTGCGCACATGTGGTTCAGGCGTTGAAGCGCTAACTCTTCAGCCTTGTCGGGAAGGGAACCAAGCACTTTGTAAACCTTGTTGGCCGACTTGAAGGGAAAGGCCGGCAAACATGCTTCGACGCGTTCACCCGCCAGGACGAATCGGTCGATTACGGCCAGGAAGTTCGCCGTTCCTGCCGCTAAGCGTTCTTTGGAATCGTCGAACTTGTTGAGAGCATGTTCGTAGATGATATCCAGGATCTTGGTCGATGTAAGTCTTACGTCCGAAGACGATCCAGCAACTGGCGGGTTTGTGGTTTGAAGCGAGATACCAAGGCCGTTGGGGCTGTTGCCAGTCAAGCCGTTGAGGCGTATGGTCATGTCCACCATAGTCAGTGAGACATCAAAACACTTGTGGTCTGTGAAGGTGAGTAAAGCCTGTCCTCAGGTTCTGAAGTCGCTCATATAAGGACCCTAGAATGAAATGGTCAGAGTTGTGTTGTGTATGCAGGTAAGATGCAGGATTGCCACACGAGCCTTCAGGCCAGACGAAGGCTGACGGAAGCCACGATGACAGTGTAGTGTCGGGAACGGCACGCGAATACAGTCCGAGCTCCGGCATTGCAGGGGAGGCTGAGGTAATATGAGGTTGTTCGAGGCGAGCGGACGTTCACCGGGTCGCTTGTTCCCAGGCAGCATACAGTCAGCGCATCGTGCGAGTCATGGCGATCATTCTCAGCGCTGGCATTATGAGATGCTCCTGCCATTGATGCAATTGGGCTTCACGAGACCAGGTGGAGGTGGAGGGTTTACGATTAGTGTGCACGTTTGGTCCGGCCAAGCTGTGTCGCTGGAGTATAGTCATTCTGACTGAAGACGAGCCCGATCCGGCGATCGATAACCCGGATGGGGGCTAGGACGCGTGATGGTCGAGGATGCAGGTCGGTTGGTGTGTGAGGGCATGTTGGCGACGCCTGCCCCGGTGAGGTTTGACGAGGGGTGCCAAGCGTCACGTGTTCTCTAGCGGCAGTCCGAGCGCGAAACCCTCTCATCTGTCGCGTCGCGCTTCATCGCCAAGCATCTCCTCTACTGCATCCACGCCGCCACCAGGCGGACGCAGGCTCAGTACAGCCTATACTCACGCTTTGATCACAACTAACAGTTGACGATGCGATATATGCTAACCGGCTACGAGCAGCATGTCGCCCAATCGTGTGTTGCCGTCTAGGAACACGCTGACACCAACATTACCAATGCTCTCAACATCATCTCAACGATGCTCCTCATCCGCCAATCTTAGTGCAAGGTTCCAGGCAATTGCAAACATCACAATCGCCATCGCAAATTCTTGACTTCAGGTGGATTAGAGCGGCGTCAACGCCAACCATCCCTAGCTTACGCGATGTTGCGATATAGCTTTGTCCAGCCACCGCCTCCCGGTGGAGAAGTGGAAAGAGAACGGCTCAATACGAGCTACATCTGAAGGCTAAGAGAACCGAGTAAGCATCGCCGTATTATGGGAGTCTCAAAGCTGACAGCAACAGCAGTCTTACGATCATCCCGACGCGAGACCAGGCTCTAGTTTGAGCCAGAAGCGCATTCTCTTCTTCGTAGTCTTCCGACCGTACCTACCCGTGCCTCCAACATGCCGCCCATGTCTCCGCGCTCATCGCAAAGCTCCCGGTTATCCACCGATACAAGTTGATACCCTCTTCTCCATCGTCTTTTCGCTAGCCGGATTACTGTGGGCGGGGTCCATATCTTGGCTACGGAGTATATCTCCCTAGGAGGTTAAGAAGGAGCTCAGTCGTGTGTCGGACTTCTACATGACATTTCTAGCGGCAAAAGATGCGTCGCTAGACTTGCTAATAAGAGCAGCTGATAGCCAAAACGTGCTCATGCGAAATTCGCTCATTCGAAAACGCGCTCACGGCAGTATGCGCTTGTTTGAGAAGGCGCTTATCTCGTGCAGCTAGGTGGCTGATCCGGCAGGGTGCCTCATGGCAAGGACTAGACTCGGCTGCGCACTCGTGGGCGACATGTGTTGAAGGCCTGGTGCGTGGGATGACGGCGTCGGAACCAAGCCCACAGCAGCGGGTAATATGCCCTCAGACTGCTTGCAGTGGAGCGGGCCGTTGGACAGGGTCCGTGCTCGCGTATGGCTTCACCAACCTCACCCTGGTTCGCGGGTCGTGTCTGCATCCCCGCTTACTGTCAGCATGGCGCCTCTGCGCCCGCCGCAAGCGTTCAGTACATGTACACATGCGAGGCCATGATGCGTCGCGGCTCGCTATCACGTTCTCACCGGCCAGCATGACACACGATTCAACACCATATTCATACCCGTATTCCCAGGCTGCACAGCTGGACGCGCGCATTACCATCCCGAGGCCCTCGATCGATCCTGGTCTAGCACCGTTGATCGACTCAGTCCTTTTACCGGAAGAGTTGGATGTTGCCTTGCTCCGCGGCTTCGATGTTGGTGGCAGTCCCGAACCAATCCTCGAAGCGAACCCGCATCTGACGCATACGGAGCATGCCGTCCCCAGCTCGCATGGCCACAGCATCACCTTGTCCGTCTTCGCCCCGAAGCCTTCGCCGCATGCATTGCCAGTCTTGTATTACTTGCACGGTGGCGGCATGATCTCAGGCGACCGCTTCAGCGCTGTCGCTCAACTAGTCGATCTCGTCCAAGGCATACCGTGCATCATCGCCTCGGTCGAATACCGTCTCGCGCCCGAGACGCCGGCACCAGGAGGTGCTGAGGATTGCTATGATGGGCTCGTCTGGCTTTCTGCAAATGCCATGGGTCTGGGCATCGATCCTGCAGCCATCGTGATCTGCGGGTCCTCGGGCGGTGCGCCCCTCGCTGCAGCAACCTGTCTCATGGCACGCGACAAAGCAACCCCAACCGTGCCGATCAAAGCGCAAATGCTATTGTCGCCCATGCTCGACGACCGCTGCGACAGCGTCTCAGACCACCAGTTCGAGTACGGTGTGCCCTGGAACGGCGCCACGAACCGCGCGGCCTGGAACCACGCCCTGGCCGGTCAGCGTGGCACCAACACAGTCACCGCATATCAGGCCCCATCCCGCGCTACCGACCTGTCCAACTTACCTCAGACTTACATCGATGCGGCTGAATGCGAGGTCTTCCGCGACCCTGCAGTCATGTATGCTATGAATATGTGGCGGTGTGGATCCTCGTGTGAGCTGCATGTCTGGCCCGGTGGAACGCATCTGTTCGATGCTGTTGATAATCCGAAGGTGCCGGTTGTGGGGGCTGCGATTGCGGCGAAGAGGGCTTGGCTGAGGAGGATAATGCTGCCTTTGGGTGATGACGGCAGCACGGTATGATGTGATGTGCTTGCCGTTGTCATGTCTGTGTTCGGGCTGAAGATATTGATCCACGACCCCATTTCATCCGAGATGTCGTTCTTGACATGTACTTTTAAGATGTCTGTTGATCGCGATCCGATCCGCGCCTCTCCATGTGCTCAACGGCTGATTCATGCGTTGCTGGCACATTGATCTGACCATGAATGTTCTAAATGTCCTTCTTTCGAAATTGTGTCCTTGATAGCATGATCACTGTCAAATACCCCTAGTCTGCTGTCAGCATATTCGCCAATGTCTTGATGTCTTTCTCGGGTTACGCAGCGACTTGTGACTTGTGACTTATCCAGCTTAGCCTCGGACATGTTGTCATCCACCAACCTGAAAGCGCTACAGTGGCTAGCGAAGGATCGATGGCTGTTGATAAATTTGCTCATATGGCCAAGAGCACAAAGACTAGACTCGAAGTACCTACGGCGTTAGTGCAACAGCTGGTAAGCTTGGTATTGCTCGGCTATGCCGCGTTGTTCGTCATATCCGATCCGACGACCCATGTCTCCTTTGTAGGTTGTCAGATAGGTATCACCTCATCCCATAATGCAGTAGAAGCTCCGTCGTGAATGCTTTTACGCATCAAACGCATCTCATCCTTCATACTACCGCAGCAACTATCTGCAGCATGACACGTAACATACCAGACCAGAAGCCCAAAACGCACCAGCTTCCCATACTGCGAATACTAGGTACGCAAACTCCAATTCTAGCCCATACCATCCACATCAACTCACCACCCCACAGGCAAATCCGAACAACTCTCCGCAGTATCCCACGCCCTCGGCTTCTTCAAGAATGTCGGCATGTCCGCCCACTACACCCTATCTAGCACCACCACTACCCAACCACCCAATCTACAAAGCGTGGTATACGCGGCGTTGGCGGATGTCGTAAAAAGGCATGCTATCCTATCCGCCATTCCCATAAACGAAGCGACGCCGGAGGCGTACTTTGCGCGATTAGAGGTAATCGATCTGGAGAAGTGCGTGGTCTGGAAGACACGCGTCGGTGATGCTACGCGCGGGGAAGAGGATCTTGAGCTGGATGGGATTCTTGAGGGGCAGCATAATGTCGGGTTTACATCTGATTACGGGGATGTGCCCTTCTGGCGCTTGGTTATACTCCAAGATGCCGGGGCTGAGCTCAGTTTCACTGCATCGTTCATCTTCCACCATAGTCTCGGCGATGGCGCAACAGGATCGATCTTCCACAGGTCTTTCCTTCAAGGCCTGAACACCGCTATCTCCCTCCCCTCTCCCGTCACCCAGAACAACACATGCATACCCACCGACCCCACCATCCAACTCCTCTCCCCCCTAGAGACACTCCATTCCCTCCCGATAAACCCCAATCCCCACTCCCACCGCGCAAACAGCGCCTCGGAGTTGGCAGAATGGTTCGGAACCCCCATTCACACGCCCCTGAAGACTCATTACAAAACCCTGTACTTCTCACCGCCAACCACCGCAGCCTTCGCAGAAAGATGCAAGGACAGCGGCGTAACAGTCACATCCGGTCTTACCGCCGTACTATCCGGCGCTCTCTTCTCTGCTTTACCAGACACCGTGGAAGCGCTGACGGGTATCATACCGATTAATCTACGGCCGTGGCTCAGTCTGCCTGCGACCGAGGCGGATGTGGCGATGGGAAGTTTTATTGACGCGATAAAAGTGCATGTGAGACGTGAGGAATGCGTGGGAGCTGGTGATGATGGAACAAGCATGATGAGCGGTCTCCCCGCTGCACGCCATGCGGCGGAGGAGATCAAGAGATATCTCGCCAATGCTTCGCCGACCGGCGAACCATACACGTCCATCGCGCCCTTCAAACTCATTCCCGATGTTGCTGCGGTGTTCACATCTCTCCTTGGTACGACCCGCGATGCTGCGTTTGAGATATCGAATTTGGGTCGTTTTCCACCACCCGCTGATCATACTCGCTCTGGCGACGATGATGCCGCACACTGGCGGATTGGTAGAATGGTGTTCAGTCGCAGTGCCGTTGTGTTTGGTGCGGCGGTTACGACGAGTGTTGTTACGGGGGCGGATGGGGGTTTGAGTGTGGGGTTTTGCTGGCAGGATAGTGTTGTGGAGAGTAGTGTGGTTGAGCAAATTATGAAGGGGTGTAGGGAGGGGGTTGAGGGCTGTGGGTTTTGAGTGGAGTAGAGGGTGCAGCAGTGGAGAGGGATGTGTGTGAATGAACTGCTGGGACATTGGGGCCATGAGGCTGGCGTGGGCTGGTCATGCACTTAACGTAGCTTGATGTATTGTGCCTGTGTAGTTGTCAACACCTTTCGTGCGCAAGACTGCAACACTGCTCAATTAATACTTCTGTCATCGCAGTATAAAATCCTCCACCCGATCTTGATTCGTCTTGATGTACGCACCCAATCCAGACACATGCTGGAGACCTGTCGCAAAGAGGAAGCAATCGCCACTGATAAGCTTCCATCTTCCATTGCTATCCGGTCTAAGAAGGCAAGGCGCTACAGCACCTTTGATGATACAGACTGCATCTCCAGACTGTGCGTCTTCAGGTACGGTCGCAAGCTCGCCGTTAGTCAACAGACTAACTTTGCAAAGCTGAAGAGCTTGATAGAAGTTCTCCATTTCTTCCCGAAAGTAGATCGGTCTGCCCTGGTCGGAATGAGGTGTTTGCATCAAGTAGATGAGTGGAGACCTACCCATGTACCACAAGCTCGAGTCAAGGAGTAATGCAGATCTATCCCCTCCATGCGAGACAAGACTATATTGTCGTTAGTTTCAAGCATCCTCCAGGGAATTTGCGCGCTTACTAAAGAAGATCCTGCGGCCAAATTGGCCGAGCGTTGGTGGGGCAGAACTTTTGAGTTTCCCTTTTGCATCCCAATATCGTCTGCTGTTGTCCAGATCGTAGTACACATTGAGCATCTGTCGCTCAGCGTCATCGTTATCGAGAAAGTGAAATGCCCGGCTTGACTTGACGATCTGCGCATATTGACATCCTGCAACATGTAGTTCTGGACCTGTGAGAGAATCGCCCAAGGCGTAATAATCTAGCGTGCGTTTTCGATCTTCGGCGGTGGCGCAGAGTGATGAGTTGCCTAACATCCTTGCTTTGTCTGACTCGAAATGGAAAGCAAGCGACTGAAGTGGCAAGGTCTGAGACCAGTCTGGCATCCATGAGGGCATGCCCAAGTCATGCGGGTGACGGGAAGCGGCGAGTATTCGAGGTCCCAACACGGGCACAAGAAAACTGGCAACTCGCTCGAACAATTCGTGTAGGCTCTGTGTATAGTCGATTAAATGGTCGATCTCCGATTGCCTAGCGCCAAGTAAAGACTTGAGAGCAAAGACTTTGTCTCTTGGGTTGGTGGCTAAACATTCTCTGCTCAGGTATAGTCGGTTCCACAAATTGAATTGCGGCGTCGAGTACTCAAATTGTCTGGTCCATAACAACCCAAGAGGACGTGGTAGAACACCTCTTGTCAGCTTCGCTGTATTGTCACTTCTTCCACGATATCCGTAGCAGATTCCCTCCAGGTTCCCGAGTGGTATGACTACCGAACCGTATACGATGGTAATTTTCTCCTTCTTGTACACTTCCTGGAGAACCCACGTTCTTTTGAACCACGGATCTTCGAAAAGCTCTTCAAGCTGCTGTATGGTATGTCTACTAGGCGGGTCGCCGTAACCTCCCGGGCGTGTGAGTTCTTTCTGTAGGTGGCGAAAGTCTGGAACCTGATCGCTGAGCATCACCATGACACCTGTCGCACGGCTGTATATCTCATTCATCATGCGAACCTGCTTTGATCGCTCCCCTAAATCTCCCTGGTTGATGCAGACCGCATCAATCCAGATCCACCGATCTGCCTTTGGCTGCCGCAAGCGACGCAGAGCAGCATGACAGTTCTGTCCGACAATTTGCTCTCTGCCATTCAAGTGGAGTTTGTTCGTCTGTGTGCTGTCTCCCCAAGTGTAGGACACTGCTTCGTAGATGGGTGTCTTATCGGAGAGTTCTCTGTGGCGTATCGTGCATACGATAGGGTCTGCCTCGTTCGGACTTGGATGCAGGACAAGGATGCGGACGGAATCATCGCATTGTAGTGGTCGGTACTCATAAGAGGGCCGTTCCATGACCAGAAGGTCTAACCAGGGGTCCCGAACAAACCAGCAGCGTTGTGGTGCTTTCAGGTGTCAGGCAGCAGTTTCGCTTGTCGTGCGTTGGTCGTGACTGCATACAGCAGGTGGGGTATACCGCTGACCCTCAGCTCATTGTAAATGAGGCTGGTCTCGGCATCCCAAAAAGTCACGAAACGCCAGAAGGGGAGATCGACGTAGCCAGGCATGATATCGTTATCGTCTTTAGGAATGGCATCGAGCTCGGTGTCCTTGTAGTCTTATTATTAGTTGTTAGCGCAGCTAGAAGTTGGTGAACGTGTCAGCTTTTGACTCTCGCGGCATCTTCACCCTGGAGAATCATTGCGTCGGTTGAAATAGTTAGCGTCGCAAAGGAGCGCATGGCATTTGTCTTCAACTTGGCGCAGTGGTGATGTGCCATGGTTCGCGTTGATAGACAGCTGCAAGCCGCCGCGACCCGCGTGGCAGATCGCGCTTTGCTGTTTAAGGGCTAGCTTCACAATCCCTGCTTCCGCGGCTCCTGCGTCATCGGCCATCACCAAATTTTGGGGCAAGCCCAACAGCGCGTGTGATCAACACTGACGAACATTACGAACACCCCGCGCAGCACTTCAAGTGTTACTCATTCGCATAGGAAACCCAATCTTTACCCGCATATTTGTTTAAACCCAACCTTCACCCACTTGAACAGCGTCCCAAAGCAAACATGGCGACGCACGAGCAGTACATACTGCACGTCACAGCAGGCGCAACATACGACACGTCAAAACACTCAGATGTCCTAGTCAACAGCGAAAAGCCTGTCGAAATATCATCCGACCTGATCGACGCGCGCGTCCACATGCGCATCAAAGACTACCGCGGTACGCCTCCCGCCCGGACCCCTCCATCAAGCTGCCCCTCCAACGCGCACCGTCACTAACAAAGCCCAGGCCTACCAGAAGGCTCCCCAAAGACTTCGCCCTACTTCTCCACACCCCAACACCCGTACGATCGCTACTCGATATCCTTCTCCTTCACACCCAAACAAGACATCGCCGGCGACAAGCTCGTCTTCGGAAACGACTTCGACCACCCGATTCGCGACCGGTTACCGCCGCTGTTCGATAAGGCGTTTGGGGTAGTTAGGTGGTGGATCGACCCAGGGCTAGACGGCGATGTGTACGCGGACGAACCATACCTCTATGGCGCGCTTCTCTCCTCCATAAACGTCCTGCGCATCGGCAGCAAAAAGGAGGCAGACAAGCCGGCCAAGAGCGATCTGGAAGGCGAGGCACAAACAGAAGGAGACGTGGAAGTGCCTGGCTCAGACGGCGAGGCTGTTGTATACGAAGAAGGCGCCGATGGCGACGGCGTGGAAGTCAGAAAGAGCAAACACGTACCCGACAGAGCCAGCGCAAGACAAAAGTTCTTCCTCACGGAGCAGAATAGGAAGGACTTTGTGTTTGAGGCTGGGAGGGAGTACAAGTGCGATTTCTTTAACCCGTATCTCGATTTCAATGAGTTTGCGCTGAAGATTGGGTATGGATTACCAACCATCAGTATGATCGGGCACTGGGATGGACAGCCGTTGCGGTACGTACACATTCCTTCACCTCCTGTATCTCCCATCGTCATCATCGTCATCATCACCACAACTCCCACCACCACTACTCACAAATTTCTTTGGACCTCGGGATACGGAGCTGACTTGAACGCATTCACTAATCAGACCGCACACGCTTAGATATGTGCTCAAGAACCGGGAAACCAACCGGGAGCTCTTTGTCGTGGTTATAGAATTACTGCCGACTGAGCAAGCGAAGAAAGAGGGTGCGGAAGATCCGAAGGAGAAGTTTGAGGAGGTGCATGGCGGGGGGAAGAAGGAGGATAAGAATAGTGACCTTGATTAGGGGATCGGGTCTTGGTATCCGCAGTTTGTTTGGTGATGGGGGGTTGGGTTTGATTGGATTGGGGGTATCGGTATGGCATTTGGGGGGTATCGGTAATGTGAGATGGGACCGGGTGGGATGGGCTGGGGCTATTGCTAGGGATGATATGGAATTGTACTCAGTATGGGCAGCAAATGCAGCAGTCAATGTAACTTTGGCGATACCTTCCATTCATGGCAATCTCCGTTCTCCCCCGCGGGGACACAACGTGGGCGCCGCCGGTAAAGAAAGCTCGGACCTCCGAACTTCGGCGGCAGCTGCAGCAACACCAAAAATTCCATCGCGGACCTGTCATTCCCGCATCACATCCCCAACATGGCCGCACGCACTTTGAGGATAGGTCAGGACACCCAATTGCATCCATACATACCGAATACATCTCAAGCTGCAATCATCGACTAACACACCCCGCAGGCCTCATCCCCGGCGACGGCATCGGCCGCGAAGTCATCCCCGCCGGCCGCCGCATCCTCGAAGCCCTGCCCTCCTCCTTCAACCTAAAATTCTCCTTCACGCACCACGAAGCCGGCTGGTCCACGTTCCAAAAGACCGGCGCCGCCCTCCCCGACGACACCGTCTCAGCCCTAAAGTCCGACTGCGACGGCGCCCTCTTCGGAGCCGTCAGCTCGCCCACCGTGCAAACAAAAGGCTATTCGAGTCCGATTGTGGCTCTGAGGAAGAAGATGAAGCTTTATGCTAATGTGAGGCCTGTTAAGAGTGTTAGGGGAGGGTTGAAGGAGGTGGATATGGTGATTGTGAGGGAGAATACTGAGGATCTTTATGTTAAGGAGGAGAAGACGTATGCGGCGCCTGATGGAAGCAAGATTGCTGAAGCGATCAAGCGGATTTCCGAAACCGCGTCTTTCAACATCGCAGAAATGGCGGGCGATATCGCACTCCGCCGGCAACGCGTCCGCGACGCTGGCGCAAAGTCTATTCACTCCAGCCCGCTGGTAACGATCACACACAAGAGCAACGTGCTGAGTCAGACCGACGGCCTGTTCCGCGAGACCGCAAGAAGGGCGCTTCAGAACAGGAAATACGGAGGTGTGAATGTGGAAGAGCAGATTGTGGATTCAATGGTGTATAAGCTGTTTCGCCAACCACAGGACTACGACGTCATCGTCGCACCCAACCTCTACGGCGACATTCTGTCTGATGGCGCCGCCGCCTTAGTCGGTTCGCTCGGTCTCGTCCCGAGTGCGAATGTGGGTAAGGACTTCGTAATCGGTGAGCCGTGCCACGGTTCCGCACCCGACATCGAGGGCCAGGGCATTGCGAACCCCATCGCCACCATCAGATCGACGGCGTTGATGTTGGAGTTTATTGGGGAGGAGGAGGCTGCGGCAAGCATTTACAAGGCTGTTGATGCGAATCTGGAGGAGGCGAGGCTGCTCAGCCCTGACATGGGCGGCAAGGCGAAGACGGAGGAGATTATCGAGGATATCTGCAAGAGGTTGTAGAATGGTTGTTAGTAGAAGCTGTCGAATACACGGTTTATGACGTCGTGCTGCGATACAAGTATTCCTGTCTGAACCGAGTGTAGAAGCAGTGTGAGATGGATGTGTTATATGGACTTTATAGAAAGATGATGTATGTTTCAAGGACGCATATCCCGTACGTTGTACCAACTCCATAATCCTAGCGCCAGAGTACCTAGGTAGCGATCTCACACCCTCGTAAAAGCATCAACATCCACCCTCTGATAAAAGCTCACATGCCCAAACGTCTCCCAATACTGCGCTAGGCGATCATGGCTGATGAGGATAAGCTGGCTTGTCATGTAGTTATCTGTTCGACGTTAGCATCCATCTACCCTCAATCCAACCATCATTGAGTCGAAGTGAACAGTAGAAGTGAACATACCATCTCTAAACCCCGTCGCAGCAATATGCCCCACACTCCTCACAATGCGCGCGCCCTTGAAAATCTCCTCCTTCGCAACGCGGATCAAGCCATTCGGACCAATATCCGGTGCTATGAACGTATATTCGCCGCGGGGAATGTTTGGGTCGCCGGTGAGCTTGACGGCTTCGATGCGGCCGCGGTACACACTCTCGTCTTCCTCCGACCTGTGTTTACTGTCGTTTGATGTTTCCCCTGAGGCGGAGATGTAATTGTGGTAAGCAGACTGTAAAGTGGCGACGCTATCTTCGAGATCATCTGCGTTCTCCATTCCAACACCAATTTCAACACCCCCATCAACAGATTCCTCCTCAGAAGCAGAAGAAGACGCCGCATCCGTCGGCGCCGTCGTCCAACTCCCCCCACTACTCACACTCTCCTCCCTCTCCCTCGCCCGCATAGCCCACAGCGCACGTTCAGGAAGCGGCTTCGCATCCCGCTCATCCGGTTGCATGATAGCCAGGAACTCGCAGCCGTGGCCCGCGTAGTCGCCGCACCAGATCCCTTGCCATGGTTTCTGGGGCGTGGGCGTGTAGCACTCCTCAGGCAGGGTCGCCCACGTCGTTACGTCCTCGCCGATGCGCATGCCCATGCCGAGGACGCGGGTTGAGAACTCCATCCAGCGCCGGATCCGGAACGTGGATTCAGAGAGTTGGGAGAGGGTCGCGGGTTTCTGGCCTGGTTGCCGGTAGCCAGATGGGGAGTGGTCGTTGCGCGTGCGGTGTGCGCTGGGGAGGGTGAGGGGCGGCCAGACGGGCGTGGCGTCTGTTGTTATGGCCGTGGGCCAGGGGCGGGTGAGCATGAGTTGGGAGAAGAGGGATGCGGCTTGTTGTTGGCGGTCGCGGTAGAGGGACATGCGGACTTCTTTCTGGAGGCGGTAACCAATATTCCCGATGGCTTCTTCGTAGGCGTCGCGATTTAGGCGCACGATGGGCGCGTTGAGGTCGAGGCGCACGTTGGGGCTGAAGGTGTGGATGATGGCTTCGGGGTGTTGGTCCCAGGATAGAGCTACGGGCGATCGTCGTTCCGCAACGAGGGCGTAGGCTTCGATTGCGTTGAGTCGGTGGTCGTAGCGCGCGATGAGCAGTTTGCCTGTGTGGGCTGTGTCGGCAAACCAGATCTTGCGCCGCGCGATGAACCAGTATGGGTGGTGTTCTTGGTATAGGTCTCGCCAGGTGAGGCGCGCTGGTTTTGTGATGTTGGGGACCTCTGCTTCTACAAAGGCCTGCCAGAGAGTATCTTGGAATGTGTGGGTGCGCAGGACTTTGCTGGCCATGCCCACGGTGAGGAGGTCTGATAGGGTGAGGTAGCTGAGCACATGATGGAGTAGTTCCGAAGGGAGGTTGAGCAGCGGCGGGATGGGCGTTTGCGGTGCCGGGCTTTCTGTCTCGCGAATCCGTAGCTCCATGGTTTCGATTGATCGTGTCGCGTGCTTGAAGTCGTATGCAGCCTCCTTTTAGGAATCGATCGACCGTTGAAGTACCTCAGCCAGGGTGGCGAAGAGCTTAAGTAGCAACCACGTCCGTCCCTCTTACCTCTCGCAAGCAACCCGCACCGAAAAGAGAAGTAGTGAGTCGTCGCCCCAAGACTTAATATAGCGCCTCAATCGTCGGTCCTGCAGGGCGCTCTCCCACCCGATGCTACCGTCTCGGCAACGTTCCGCAGTGACACCTTCCCACCTTCGCCTAGCCTTAACAAGTCCGGGGTAGATTGGCGTGATCAAGCAGCGAATACGAGCGCTATGCAAGATCAAAGAAGATCAAAGCACTACTCGCGTATCTTGGACGCGCTGAGTACCTGCTCTTTTAGATGTTTGGTGTTTGATGTTGCTTTGCGATGATGACGGGGTTGCGATATCGGATGATGCGCTGCAAGGGTGAGGCGGCTCGGGAATGTTCTCGGGTGCGACGGCAGAGTGTGGGAGGAGGTTGATGTACTGTGTAGTGCTTTGCCGCTGACAATGGGAGAGGGAGTGGTCGAACGCAGGGAGATAAGTGGTTGTCGTCGCCACGCAGGCGTGATAGGTGCGTGTCGGTCACGATATCGCAGTACGTCACCGTCCGTCCGTGCGCTGCCGCATAGCTGGCTTTTGTGGGGTACCGTGAACTTGACTTCTGCCACCACATTTTGAGGCAGACATCACGTTTTTAGGGTACGCACGTCGCGACATCATGTAGCCAGGAGGTATCCAGTGATGATGGGGTGAGTATCTGTGCTGAGATAAAGTGACTTCATGACGACATATCACCGTGCGCCCGGAGATGTGAGGATACAAATCACGGTTTGAGGCATACATCAGCGTCGGGAAACATCATTCATTCAGGCAGATTTCAAGCCAGGCGACGACATCACCATCTACATACACCACCTCCCAAACCCCCAAACCACCCACCGCCTACAAGTCCTTGAACTTGCCCTTCCAGGCCGCCTTCTGCGGCGACCTCTTCACCACGCCCACCGGCCCCTTCCCCATCTCCCCCTCCCTCCTCTTCTGCTCGAAAGCCGCCTGTCTCCTCCTCTCCCTCTCCTCTTTCTTCTCCGCCAACCCACCCACAGTCTTCTTCATGGCCGAAGCCCGATCTGCTTTGCGGAGCAAAGTCTCTTCAGCCGCCTTGTTCTTCTTCAGCTCTTCCTCGAGGAACTGGCGGCGGCGGCGGAGCTCCACGAGTTGCTCTTGGATGCCGGCGGCGGACTCGAGGTGGGCGGCCTTGGCGGTGGCGGCGACGACGTTGGTCTTGGTGGTGGCGGTCGCGGCACGACGGCTCCTGACCTCGTCGAGGAGGCGGGCGTCGGCGGCTTCCTTGGCTCCCGCGCCGTACATGCGGATAGGGGGCGTTGCGTACATCTTGGCGATTTGGCTTGGTCGCGGATGTAGTGTGGGTGTGTGGTGGTGGTGAAGTGGTAGTATGGTATGACTTGTGTTTGATTCTAGTCTTGAATATAGTGTGATGGTGGTATGGTAGGCTTGAAAAGTAATTGTGGATGTGAGATGGATAGAGAGAGCTGGAGAACAGAAGAGTTGGAGACGAAAGGACTTCTTATATAGTAAGGACTTCTTGGCTGGGACGACGTCTATTCTGCCGGTATTACAATAGCAAGGACTGCAAAGGTGAAGGTGAGCATGCAAATTTTCGCTGACAGCTGGTTTCTATGGGGCACAATAGCAGGAGATACGTGGGAAAAGATGAGGCTGGGCGAGGTGAAAGGGCCTGTGGCCAATGACACCTCTCTGAATCGACTTGGAAGTGAGCGCGACTTTGGCTGCCGGCTTTCTACTGGCTGCGAACTTCAGAATATCGACCGCTCTACCGGTCTGCGCCACCGCAGGACGTTTCAGAAAGTTTGCTATTGTCACTCGATAACGACGTCGTGGCCGCTGACGTATACGCGCTGCGGATCTTGGGAACCGTCAGATCAAACATCACGTGCTGGGACGAGTACCAGGGCAGCTTGGAGTATGAACGCGACTATGCCATTCGCGCACCATCTTGGTCTATGATAGTAATATGCGCACGCAACCACCAATCAAGACATGCGCCGATTCGAACATGACAGCAACGTCACTATCCAAACATAACCGCACTCACAGCACATCTCCACGCGCTTCCCTCCGACCCGCATCCCTTTCCGCCCGCCAGTCTCTGGTAGCCTGCACCCACTCCTCCGGATCCCCCGGCATCCCCAAATCCCCATCAAACCCCTCCATCTGCATATTCTCCAAAGTAAAATCCGTCGTAGGCCGTAGCATCCACTCAGGAAGCGGACCCTGAGTCACGAAGTCCTCTACGTCTTCTATGAACCACGCTTCTGGGTAGCTCAGGTCGGCTAGTGTGTCTTCTTCTGGCTCAGGCTCGGGTTGCTCTTCTGGCTGTGAGGGTGAGGGTTCTTCTTCAAAGGCGCGACGTGTCATCCCGATAAGGTCCATTTTGCCGAAGTTGGGTGGCAGGTCGGGTATGATCTCTGGGCGCCATTCGTTATTGTCGGGACTGTTGGGACTGGAAGAGAAGAGGTAGTCGTTTGGGTTGCCGAAATCGATGGGGTGGCTTTGAGAGGCGGGGATGGGGTTGTCGGAGAAGAGGTAGTCTAGTTCGTGGCCTTCGTTGATGTTTGAGACCGCGAGAGCCGCAACCTCGTCGGTAGTTTCAGCTTGACCTTGAGAAGCGTGCTTCGAGTTGGCATACGCAGTCTCCTCAGCTTTCTTCTTTGCAGCTTCTTCAACCTCCCTCCGCGCAGCTGCCTCAGCCTCCTTCTTCGCAGCTTCCTCAGCTTCCAACCGCAATGCCGTCGCCAGTCTTCCCACACAGCCACTCATGTTGCTGTTCACATCGTCCCTGGTGATCTTCACTTCACCAAGCACAATAGGCTCATGATCCTTGATCTGCTTCTGTAGCATGCGCATTGCTACCGGGCGGTAGTCGACAGCAGGCTCTGCCTTCGCAGGCGACGAAGCTGCAAGCGTGGAAGACTTGTCCGGCGAGAGTGTGTGAGTGGTGGAGGTTATTTTTGGTGTATTGATGGGAGTGGAAGTGTGATTTGGTGCTGTGCTTGGGCTTGTAGCCATCTGGGTCGACGCTGGATGTGGTTTGGCCGCATGGTTTGTCGTCACACCTGATGGTAGCAGCTGGACATCAGCTTGCTGCTGTCTAGCATTTTGAACCTGCGGCGGAGCTTGCTGTTGCGGTCGGCGCTGCTCTTGCTTTCGATTCATGGAGTGCGGTGTAGTCAGATCGTTACTATGATGACCCAATTGTGCAGACGCGACTGGCGACAGTGTCTGACGCAGCGGTGTTGCATATTGCGCCAGATGGTGAGCGAATGAGGGGGCTGTTGCAGATGCGATCGCAGTATGCTCCTGCGACCTGCGCTGAGGAGAGAAGCTGGAAAGTTCCCGCTGTCGATGTGATCCATTTGGAGGCAATCCATTGTAGCCAAATGCAGGTTCGCCGGCTTGACGCTTTGCTGCTGGAGCGGGACTTGTTGATGTGGTCGAGGGAGTAAGAGATTGTGTTGGCGAGTTGAGGAAGTTATGTTGCGCTTGAGGTTGCGACGGAGATATCGGCTGATGTCGGGATGCAGCTATACTGCCCGTGTTGACTGGATGTTGAACTGACCACTGTTGTGGGGACTGATGCTGGAACTGCCACGATGCTGCGCGTGTGGGGGTAGCCTGTCGCGACGAAGACATCTGCTGAGCCCGCGATCCTGGAGAAGGGAAAGTCGATGGCTGCGACTGGTTCCCATGTTGTTGTGTAGGTCCCTGACGAGCAGCCTCAACCCGACTCCTCCTCGCAGGCGTCTCAGACCGCGCTTGCCCTGCCCTCCTTCCCCCCAGCACACCCCCCAACAGCCCCAACACCCCATCCCACCTCTCCACCTCCTCCCCAAACTCCCCCTTACTCTTCTTATTCCAATCCCCCCACGTCTTATGCGCAACATGCAGTTCCCCCTTGAGCACCATCTCCTCAACCCGCGTCTTCCACGCCCGGATCTGCTTGCCAATAGCATGTTTCTTGTTCTTCTCTGTAAGACCCTCGCGGCAACACTTGTGGTGGCTACCCTCAGCGTGTAGGCATTTGTACAAACCATCTGGTCTCTTAGTACAAGCCGCGAGTGAGTCTTCGGTGGGATATTCAGGGACGGCGGCTTTGTCTAGGGGATGTATGTGTTGGTCTGGTTTTGTGTCGCCCCATTGGCGGCGGGTGGCGAGGATCTCTGCGGGCGAATCCATTCCGGGGGTTTGTGTGATGGGCAAGGGAGGAGGCGGCGATGTTGTTGCGGGCGACTTTCGTCTCACGTCGCGACAGCCATTTGTTTCCCATGCGTGAAGTTTCTCGTACCAACGTGCTTTGGGGTGGGTTTGCTGCGCTTTGCACCAGGCTTCGATGGCGGGCTTGTTGTCGTTGTAGCGCTGCTCTTGGGATGTTGTGATGGAATCGTTGCGGGCGCGCTTTGCTTGCGCTTTTTGTTCTTCGTCTTCTGATCTTGGGCGTTTCTGAGCTTGGTGGGCCATGGGTGGTTGGATGGGATGTACGACGGGTACGCTGGGAGTATACGGGTTCATTCCAGTTGGTGTGCTCGTCGAGAACGTGATGTGAGGCGACGACGTTGCGCTACTTGTCGGCGTTCTTGGAATCGGTGGAGGCATCGTGTACGCCTGGGTCTCTCGTGAAGTTGCGCTTTACGTTCGGTGGCTGTGGCGTCGACGTCAGGCGGGTGGTGTTGTGCGTTCGCCAGTGCTTGTCGCGAGTTGTCCGGGGCGAGGTGAGTGATAGTAGGTACGCTGTAGAAACATTATTCTAACGCGCTAGCGATCCATGGTTGAGTGAAAGGCCATATTGACCTGCTCTCTACATTCACTGATGACGTTGTGTATCTTGGATGTCAGATCCGTGGTTGAGGATGCGAGCTACCTTGGTCCAACGAACTTCAACTTTGGGAGACGCAGTAACGATAGGGGGCTACAACGACACCAAGAAGTGGAGTTACGTAGTTCGTAGAGGGACTTCAAGTGTACATGCATGCAGTAATGTATAGATGTAAGCGATGCGATCACACTATAACCAGCGGAGCTACACACGTGAAAGTAATCCTCGTATCATTCACTACAGATAGTTGTAGCACCCGAAGAAACCCCGTAACATACAACACAGCCCTTCCATAGCTGCATCGTCTGCTGGGAGGGTTCTTTGAATGCTACAACCACTTATCGAGATGTTCTTCGATACCCTAATGTCGAAGCATGGTCAAGACTTGAGAAAACAAAGATATATTGCAAAGTGACAACAACCCCCTCCTCCAATACTTTAACCCAAAACCACCCCCCTTCCGCTACCGCCCCTCTAAGCCAACCCCGTACCAACACTCCAAGTCGCATCCGCATTAAAGCTCGCCGCGGCATCAAAATCATGAACACCCCCATTACTAGCAATATTCCCAACATTATTATAATGACGAATATACCTCGTCGGATACCCCCACGCCCTTATCGAACTGCCCGAGCCCGTAAAACCAGCCTGAGGACAGAACGTCGCATCCTCCTTGAAAGCCTTCGACCCATCATTCGCCTGCAGCTGCAACACGAAGTTGTAATGACGGATATAACTCCCAGCCGTATCCTTCGACTCAAACGAGAAACAAGCGCTGTTCGCCAGACCAGCGCGTACAGTCCAACTAGCCTGGCGCTTAAGCAACGCGGTGCTGGAGGAAGAAACGACTTGCGTGTTAACCGTAGCGCCAGTGTGCGCGAGGTAGCGATCCGTGTATCCGGCTGTCGTGGCGCGGAACGAGATCGATGATCCGACTGTGTAGGCGGGGCCGCTGGTTAGGCTTGTAGTCGCGTATTTCGCTGCGACGATGTTGGCTTGCACTGCGTTCTCGGTTGCATCGGTGGGGTAGCCGGATGTCATGACTCCCTCGTAAAACGTTCCTTGCGCTCCGTTGCTGTTGTCGCCGCCGATACCGAGGATTATGGCGCCTTCTTTGCTCATGGGGTTGTAGCCTGAGGCGCTGGGTCGCGCGCCGTTGTAGTACGTCGAGAGACCGCCTGACACGGCGTTTCCGCCGCGGAGCGCCCACTTGTTTGCTCCGCCCTTCAAGACAGTGGTGAGGAAACGATCTGTGAGAGTTGGGTCCGCTGGGTTGTTCTTCGGGGACATGCCGGAAAAGAGTCCGTTTTCCAGGTCGGCCATTAGCCACGGGCCGGAGCCGGCACCAGTGCCCCAAATTGTGTTTGTGCCGAAGTAGATGGCTTCCATGTGGCCGTTTCCTGTGGGGTTTATTAGTGGAATGATGAACAAGGGTGTGTGTGGGTGTGCTTACCGGTGTCGAGGTTGTTGGTCTCAGCGTTGCCGTAATCGAAGCAGCATGCATCGTTGAAATGCGTTCCGTCAAGCACAGCGTACATGCCCTCTGCTGCATCGCCAGTCGCTGAGCCGCTTACCTTATTGTTGCGATATCCAGTACCCGGTGAGACGAAAACACCATATGCCTTCTTTCCATTCAGCGTGACTGGTGCGCCGATGGCTCCGGCCAGGTTGTCATAGCCATTAGCTTCTGGGCCGTTGAAGCCTCCTGGAGGAGCTTGAGTGAGATGGTTACCACGACCAGATTGATCGTAAATGATGGTGATGAGACATGTGGTGTTGGCGCAGAACTTGTCTTGGGTTGCGGCATTGGCTACACCACCGGCGGATAGAGGTGCGACGTTGGTGGTAGCGCCATCGGAACCGCGCTTAATCTGGTAGAGGGAACCGCTGAAAGCATTGTAAAGCGCGCGAGTGGTGCTGTGAGCGGCGATGCAAGGCGTGTTTCCCGATGCGTAAATATCGCAAGGTCCAGCGGCCACAAAAGAACCCGTAGCGACAAGGCCAAGCGCGGCGATCTTGGATGGGGAAGGCATGACTGACTGTCGCTATTATTACCACGAGAGAAGAACCGGGCGATCGTCTGGATCACCAGAGTATTGGTACATCGCCCGCATTTAAACAAATGTCTCTGCAGCCTCGTTCTTACTGTATCAATATACATAGTTCACATCTGCGTCCGTGGACTAGATGAGAAAGGCAGTTGGAAATGCACGGAGTGCAATTTCTCCTCCAACAGCGACAAGGCCTGTACTTTTATCAGCCTAAGGACGTCACGAGGTTGCAACTCCAGGTTCTCTGGCGTCTGCCCTCCCCGTATTTTGGCTGTGTAGATTGCGGGGGAGACCAGGGTATAAGGCTGTAGCTCCGGAAGATATAAGCTTTGCCGAGGATCACCCATCTGACGGGGCGCTTACCATGCACACACCATTCAACACACCATCAACAATCCTCTCTGCTCTCCAATTTGAACACGTCGAAATCTACCATACTGCCCTCCACCACCCCTCCGCCTCCCCCACCCACCCTATGGACAAGGTCTAAGGCTGTAGCTCCGGAAGAAATAAGCTTTGCCGAGGAACATCAGTCGGATGACAAGACCTGGGCTAGCGTTTCCAAGAGCCGTCGGAGCACACGCCGTTACGCCGCACACACGTGAGAACGTATCCGTAACTTTCCATTCCAGGCAGTGTGATTCTTTTACAGTTCTTCTCGCTCCACCGACACGAAGTAAAAGTTCGTGTCGGCATCCACCTCCGATGGCGTTCTAGATCCCATCGTCCATTTGTGACAATGCCGACAGGTATGCGTGTGACGTATAAACCTTGAATCGTTGTTTTGAAACGCGAAGTGAGCCAACTCATGCATTTCGAAGCTCGATGGTGTCAATAGTATCGCGGGCGAAGGTTTGCAGGGCCAGATTCACCGCTTACGGCATGCTTATGGTCGGCGCTTTCGCAGTTGGGTGGTTGGAGTTCGTTCAATAGTCTGGCCGATGTTCGCCGGGTGAGCTCAAGGGCCGCGAGACGAGGGTACCGTGGACAGGATGAAGATGGCGCACAACGCCTTCTCTCACGTATCGAGGGTGCGAAAAGTGTTGAGCTGGATGGTTGAAATTCCTGTGCGCGAGCTAAGAGCTGTCATGCTGCTGACATGTTAGCCTTCCGTCATTGACGTCCAATGCGGGCCGCTCACTACACGGATGCACGAGTTGAGCGTGTGGACGTAGTGGGCGCGTCGCACTGAGATTATTGATGTATTCGGCGTCCTGGCCGTCTGTATTCTGAGATGTCTATATTTGTACCCTTGATAGAGTCGTCGAACGTGGTATCATATGCTAAAGCGATGCAGAAAAATCCACCAAGATGTAAGCGCCCCCCAATATGCCAGTCGTAACTTTATGTTTCCCGCTTGCGCGTACATGATGCGCGACGTGAGATCTTTGATGTCGATTCGAGGACGTGGTCGCTATCCGTATTGATCCCGCAAGTCGGGTCGTGGCGTCACCGGTCGTGTCCGCTGGATCGCGGTGCTAACGGTGGTAATGGCATGTGGTTCTCGTGGAGGTCACCGTGTGTCTCGTACCGCGCCGGCCGTTGTTTCATGCGCTCGACTTGTAGTTCCACTTCGCTGGTCAAAGTGATCGTCATGTCGGTGTCCGTAGTCATGTTTCCATTGTTGCTTTTCGGGCGGACCTTGCCCCACAGGCGCGACATCCCCGTTTTGGGAGCTTCCTCCTCTTCCAGGATAGCTTCCTGGCTCCCTCGCTCCAGATCCTGTTCTGTGTCCGCCCAGTGTTTCATCTCATAGCTGTTGCCCTTGTCGTTTGCGAGTTCTGGCGCATTGCGCGGTGCTGTGGATTTCCTGTTCGTGGAGGAATGCGACGCTGATGCATTGGCGGTTAGCGTCTTTGAGGAGTGCGCGCTCTTCTTGAAGGATATGCCACCTGAGAGGGATTGCGATAGACTGAAGGGGATCTTCGCGAGGAGAGGTTTTAGTACTGGGGCCGAGGCGCATATCTGTGGCCAGTAAGCATCGTGTCACTGATTAACAGTCGTACGTAATAACTTACTACACCCAAGTCTATCTCCACAGCGGCCGCAATCCACAATGGATATGCGTACCAGGTTTGGTCGTACTCGTTGTTAAAGAGACTCCGATAGATGAACCAGGTACGCACAATACCAGCAGCAGAGACAATTAGCCCCATACCGAATAGCGCGGCGACAGCCATGCGCTCACGCAGACGCATGTGAAGCTGGAATCAGTTAGTAGTGTTTTGCCTTCCGTATGGGATTGAGCCAACTCACGCCCATGACCAAAGGTATTGGTGTTAGGGTAGTAAGAAAATCCGCGACACAGTTGATAATTCCGCAAATGAGAGTCGCAGTCCCCTCATCCATGCAGGTGTCTGCCGGTGCGCCGATGGTCCAGTAGTTCTTGATGGGGGTGCAGAAGAAGATGGCGACGAAGGGAAACGATATCAAGATGCCGAGTGTGTAGGCAACATTGACATGGACAGCCCACTTGAACCATCTACGCGAATTAGCAAGGCTATTAGAACGCGATACCGAGAGTACTCACGTCTTCCCCGAGTCTGTGACCAAGCGGTAGTAGAAGCAATGCAGAGAGAGTCTCGTGAAGCTCGCGGCTGCTGTGAAGACGACCTTGGCTGTCATGGCGATCTTGTAGGCCGGAACGAACATGTGAAAGGGTATATCCCAAACATGTCTATAGTGGTTTGATGATTAGCTGTATGCTATGCGAATGTACATCGGGTTATTTACCTATCCCATCCATATCGGAGGTTTGCCAGGAGAACGACGGCAGTGAGACCGCATGTGAAGAGCAGCGCAAAGAGGATGAAGATATCATCAATACCGAACCACCTCTTGATCACTATACGGGTGTATAACCGCGCAATCACAACGAGGATGGTTAGTGCGATGAGGATGCTGTTGACGATGAGGAGGGCAGGGCCGCGCGTTTCCGGGTCAATGTAATTCGGAGTCGGCCAACCCAACAGGACATCTACCGGAGGCAGCTGCATACTGGATTATCGTGGGCCTGCCCGGGGAAGTATGCTCGACATGTGGGCGTGGAGGATTGACGAGCTGCAGATAGACGGGCCAGGTCAAAGAAACGAGATCGAGAGCTTGCCACTAGGATAGGGTCTCGAGGGTTATGTTCAGTGAAGAGTGGGGCTGCGCACATGGCCGTTAGCTCCATCCATGTCATGAAGCGCAATGGCGCGTTGGCTACCGTCACGACGCTGGTGTCGCATTGGCTTCGACGCTCGGCTTGTACGCGGACCGTACGCAAGGCACGATAATCGTGGCGCATCAGCGGGGTCTTGCATGCGGCGCACGAACTCTCCGTGAAGGGTGGAACCCAAAATCACGACAAAAGGTTCTGCCAACCGCACGATCCGGGCAGCAATGACGAACACTTGGACGGGTTCGCTCCATCATGATCCGCCCAGGCATTCCGAGTGCATCCCAATGACCTCGGAGATAATTCCATTCTGCCCATCCGGTCGGTAGCAAAGACGGTTCTTGGTTGGACACTGGCTTACGGGACACCAATTTCCGCCTCGCCGGCAATACAAACATGCCGCCACGACAACAAGTATGGCAGTCCCTTGCACAAGAACACGGTCATGTCTCAGGTCACAGGGACCTCCAATGGACGAGTCGTGCCACCTGTAGCTACGGGAGCTAGGTCTTGGCCGAGTTGGAAGCTTTCGGGAGGCACCAACCAGTACTGTCCGGCAATAACGGGGTGGGCAGTATAAATCGACGAAACTTTCTAGACCCTGAAACCATGTGTTGAATGCAGCAATCGACGCGAAACATGGTGTTGATCCAAGGGTTCGTGGTTGTGGAGGGAAGGTCTGCCTGTGCCTGCGGCCAGGTCAGATCAGGCATCCCACGCTAGCGCCGACCGCACGGAGCCTAGCGTCGGATCTTTGTCACCCTGCAGCGATCCATCGCTGTTCCGCCCCACCCGTGTCCTCCATCGTCGAACTCAAAACTACGGGGGCATTTCGATCTAATTATGTTGCGAAGGAATCACAACGACTGTGCCGCGTGAACATCGGCACCCGACAAATGGCTACGATTATCTCCGAGGACGCCGACATCACGGATATCACGGACCCGTTGACAGCGGTGTGGCTGTTGCACGCTGACGTGCAGTGTTCACAGTTCAACAAACCTTCGTAAAGTCGGACGTGCAGTTCTCGCGGCACTGGGTGCGGTCATATAGCGCCGACACCAGGGTACTGGAGCTTACGCGTGCCGATGTATTTTGCAGAACTCATCCGCTATCCACTCTTGGATGGATGGCTGCGGCGTGGGTATCACTAGGGTATGTACCGACTCGTTCACGTATGACGCCTACATGCTCGAACGATGAATCCTTCGCTCCATCGGTTCCAAAAGCCACGCCGCTGGATCCATGTGCGATATCCTCCGCATGGGACGATGTTCGCGCTCAGGCCCCCTGACTCGATATGAGGCTGATACGCCCTCCTTTGCGCTGCCGGGACACGGCTGCCACGAGGCTGGCAGTGGCGCGCACCTAATTCCATAGCGTGCGCAATGCACGAGCACATCGGCGTGCTCTCGAGACGAGGTTTGGCGTTGCTTGAACTTCGATGCCCGGGCATATGTCTTTTTCTGTGTCGATTGTCGCATTGAAACATTCTCTTTTGGCTCCAGATATTGATGTCGCAACCAATACCCACAGTATATCTGTGGTAACGGGACGTATCTCGACAATTTCATGTGCAGGATCGATCCGCTCAAGGAACATGATTCGGGTGCGGCTCCGTTCGACCGTCATTGGCCGAGCCCGCCCCCAGAAGGCGCGCTGCCCCAAGAAAACAAGGCGTGCAGCATCGTGCGCAGTCAGCATTTGCGCCTCCGAACCATTGCCCAACTACGAGGCTTCTACGCTCAACGCCAGAATCATGCCATGTCCGCATCTGGCGTGTTGCTGCTGAGCCCGCGTCTTCCGCCACGTGTGGGTTGTCGCCATTGTCTACCTGACGCCGCATCGGGCCTTCTGCCGCACAGTTTTCGCCAGGTTGTTCCTAGTTATACAACATGAACTAGGACTCAGGCACATACTCGCCCACGACCCTCTGCCGTCCCAATACCGGGTGAAGACTACGGTTACTTGCAGGCGACCCGCCGTTGTGGATACGGATTGCAACCAAGGGGTGTTCATTCATATTCATTGTGGACTCGGGAGTCTTTGACGAAACTGTCTCAGGGACTCAAACATGTATCGCGGTCATTGCGATGGGGACGAAGGTACTTCGAGTGGGCGAGCTGGTTACATGATGTTGCACGTAGAAGAGCAGTATCACCGCAGGTAAATGTCGGCGTGCAGGTAAGTATAGCGAGACACTATTGAGTTGCTCTACTACTACATACATTTTGAATGCCGGCCCAATAGGCACATAGCATGCAAGCCACATGTCGGCTTGTAGTCATGGTAGTGTATCCATGACAGGATAGCACAACCCTCGTTCATACTCCACGCGACACGTCCATCGAACCATTCCAATCGCTGACCAATGCTTACAAGTCTTGTGACTTCTTCACGTATCCGAACTGATCTCCCGATAAACCCCACCTCTCTCCGCGCCCGACTAGGCCCATGACATCGTCGCATTCGCGAACTCAGCACTCAGATCCCTCGCACGAGGAGGATTGAAGTCGGAAGAAGGATCACCGTAATCATGCTTAGTCTTCTGCTTGCACTTCTTGAACGGGTGCTTCAAGCTGTCGGGAATCGGCGGATCACCCGGTTTGCGAAGAGCGTCGAGTTTGGAATGCCAATCGACATCATTATCGCCTTTACAATGGCCTTCATTGTGGCAAAGGTTCTCCCAATCTTCGGAGAACATGAGGCCACTTCGCACCAGGAAGTTGAAGGTCTGGTCTTGGTTAGGGTTGTATGTGTTGTCGTTCCAGCCGAACTCGCCGACCATGCAAGGGTAGTTCCGACCGTGCGTGGACCAGACGCTGGAAATGGCTTCGCCGCGGGGATTGCGGGCGATCGCTAACGTGTAGGCGCCTATGAGGTTGAATTGGCCGTTGCCCCAATTCATCGCCTGTCCTAGAGCCGACTGGACCGTCTGGAAGTCAGCAGTTTGTAGAGCGTCATACAGATTGCGCTCGTGAACCACAAGGGATGAGCGGACGACATCCCTCAAGGTAGCTCCGTAGACGTCGGAGTTGTGTCCTTCGAAGAAGTTTCGATATCCTGTGGGGCCATGGATCAACGCTTTGTGGTTTTTACCAGGGTCGTTCTCCTGCGAAATGTCCAAAGCGTAGATCCAGTATGAGTGATCCGGACGTTCCGGAAGGCAAACTCGGTTCTCGGTCGGTCCACGAATGTCTACCTCACAGGCACCTGTAGGGACGTCAGCATCAACGATATAGGGCCGTTCCCATTGCCACAATGCGTTGATCACAGCATGCTTGAAGACCTTCTCGGAAATCCTCATGATATCCTCTTGGATATTGCCATCTCTTCTGAAGAAGTCTTGACCCTGCATGAGACCGAGCAGGTCTTGGCCATGGTTGTTCTTGTCCCCTTCCATGAGCGTCTTCGACTCATGTGCAATGCTGATCATACTGTGATGACGAAAGTCGTTTAGGGATGAGCGTATAGCATCCTCGATGTTGTCAGGAAGCTTCACAGGGTCAGCTCGAGCGGTGTTGATTGTGCCGACGACGGAGATGTAGGTAGACGCGGCCATGTTAACCATCGAAGGTGCGGCAGTCTTGTCGAGTCCAATGAAACCTGGGATAGCTAGTGCCCCACCAGCCATCATCAGTAGAGCGGAGACGGCGGTCATGCCGAGCTTCTCCATCCTCCTGTGGTCGTTCTTCTCCTGTTGGATTTGCGTCGAGATGCGTGATGCAGCGCTGTATCTCGCCACAAGTGAAGGCACTTGTCCATCCGCATACAATGCACCTTCCTGTAAGCCTTCGCGAAGGCTCTTTAACAGATGGTCCACACCGGCGATCTGCTCGAAGAGGAAGTAAGCCATCTGCCTATCGTGTTGCGATAGCGAGGGCTTGAGAGCTTGACAAGAGAAGCTGCATCCTCCAACGGTGTCGCAATAGGAGGCACTTGGCGCTACATTGGGCGCAAGCTTGTCGCGAAGATAGTGCGGGAATGAGTTGTAGCCTGGGTCGTTCAGATAGCCGCTCCAGTACGCGGCGGCAAATACCTTGATGTTCGGTAGGTTCTGCCTCCAGGTCTCGGCGGTGGGGGTGACAAGGCCACAGCTATCCGATACATATGCAGGCGCTGAGACATATCCGCCGGGGCTCTGCGTTGGTGGTGGTTTCCGGGGATCGACGTTGACGGGAGCGCCAGTGGCGAAGGCCACAAGACACAACAAGATTCTGGTGATGAGCATCGTGAACAACATCTTGATAGTTAGTGTGTCTGTGAAAAGGGTTGTGGTAGTAGCAGTACTTACTGTTGTAGTGGTGGTAGTAGTCGAAGTTGGTGTAGTTGGTGTTGTTAAAGTTGAAGTTGTTGTAATTGAAGCTGTAGTTGAAATTGTAGTAGTGGTAGCTGTCGTTGTACTAGTGGTGATACTGTATCTTCAGAAGAGTTCAAGTGTGCACGATATCCGGCATGTTATATACGAAATCCGACGGCAGTGCGGTGATGAGATTTTCGCCTCGAAATGCGGCGAATTCTCTCAACCATGGTTGTCACCTATTCCAAGTCTACCAGCTGAGTTGCATCAGGATCTGCATTGGCTACTTGCTTCGCCAAGTAGGATTTAATATCCAGCGATGTTCCGTAGTTAGCATGAATAAAGTTGGAGGTGTGGGAAAAAAGGCAGTGAACCAGAGTTCAGATCTCAGCGCACCGGCCATATACATCTAGAATGACAATTAGTAGCCTCGATTTTGGTCTATAGCCGCTCCTGACGGGACAGTGGTGATAGCTCCAAAGATGCGACCGCATTCCAGCGTATCGCGTGCAATGGATATTCTATGCTGAACTCTGGGTGTCTGAGAACCGGAAGAAGAAGCTTGTTGGGATTGCCGGGTGCGCCGCATCGCGAAAGAAGCTTGGTATCGCAGAGGTAAGGTATCACAGGTTGCGACTAGTAAGCATCCGAGTGGTTTTCCAGAGTGATCTGATACCGTAACGCGAGTTGCGCTTGGTGGTGCGCAATCGCGAAGTTCTGTGCCCAGGTGGTGCGTCATCGCCATGTTTGGCTTAGTGCATCTTAGTCATCTTCAATCCGCCGAGCTGCCGATGGCGCATGCGGCTTCCTTCAACGCGACACAAGCATCACCACATTGCACGACAGCGTCATCAACAATGGATATAGTCTACGAGTCAGACTCATTGTATACGCGATATCCCATTTTCCTCTCTTTCTCCACACCGAACGCTCGGGCATGAACGTGAGAAGTGTCTTATCGCGCATGCGAGCTTCGCCCTCTACTGACAGCGATGTTCCACCACAATAGTACTACCGAAATCCACATGCCTGATACAATAGTTGTCTCCATCCACTTCGAACGTAGCAGTCGCTGTATCGATAATCGTCAGGAGCGTATTGCTTATTCCTTCGGCGAAGCCAGTTACGTTGGCCGCACGATACAAGCAACCCGGAGGAATGGACATCGTACCAATGAAGCCATCCTTGGAACCCTCCCACCTCGTGAGGCGCATTCTGTCACAGACCCCAGTAATTGAAGAGATCGAACAGCCTTCCTCGAGCACCAGACTCAGACCCTCGGACGTGTGTATCATCGCGCGATCCCCACGGAAGGCGATGGATGTTACGAAGTAGAATGGCAAAGAACAACCGCGCTCCAGGAAGATCTTCACCTGCACATCGGGAGCGGCATCGGCAGCACAACGCACCGGTGCGAATGTCCTAGCTTCCCCGAAGAACGTGGTGGCCGCGTCTTCGCTCCACCTGGAGATGCGTACTTCTGGCTTCGGCACGTCGTACATGCGCGCATGTCGTCGGACATAACTCGCAATATCGCTGGTTCCCAGGTTACGGAGCATGCTCACATCCCACGCCGTTATACACATGTTGATTTCGGGCAGCAGCATCCGCATATCCTGGATCGCTTTCGTTCTCTTGATCTCGGCGCTCATTCGAGCCAGCCGCTCCCGTTCAGCGTCAAGTAGAAGTCCAACTGTTCGGCAAATCTCTGGCTCTACGAAGCACTCGTCGAACACTTGTCCAAGGAATGCATGCGTTTTGTGCGCTTTGCTCTTATCTGCTAGGAGCAAGAGTTCGTACGCTAATGACAGCACAACAACCAGCAGGAACACGTACTCAGCATCCCCTTGACACATTCCGAGGTCCTCTTCGATTTCGAATGTCGCGATAATCGGCCTGAGAACGCGCTGATTCCAGTCTATCCCGGGATCAAAACCCTCTGTCGACACGATCGTGGCGACCTCCTGCTGAACACGTTCGACTATCCTCTCGCCGAAGCTTCCGAGAACCGAGGGACTGACATCTGGTTGTTGCGGATAAGACTTCTCGATCAAGGTGTTGTGTATACCCCGAAGGATGGCCAAATGGCTGAAGGGTGTGTTCTCGTGAAGGACCGCGGCGATGGACGTGATTGAGGATGAGGTGGATTGCGTCGGCGGGCTCGATAAGCTCGATAGGTTCGATAAGCTTCGTACTTTCAACCAGCTTGCTACTCGCGAACGGCTATCGCCCATAATGCTTGAGGTCGGGGTCGATCGCGTCGACAAGCTCGATAGGTTCGATACGTTCGATAAGCTTCGGACTCCTAGCCAGCTTGCTACTGTTGACCCGCTGTCACCTATAATGCTTGAGATGCGGTCGAAGCGGTCTTCTGCGCTACTTTACAAGCTGTCTTGTAGCCCGCGGCTAGCTTGGCCATGTCTTCGCGAAGAAAGTCACGTTCCATTCGTGAGACATTTGTCTCAAGTCTTGCTCAGACAACGTCCACAGAGGTTTCAGCACACGATTGCTTTCAACATTACAGCGCGAAGTCCACTAGTCGATATGAACCAATGTAGGTATACTGAGGATTGATTCGCTAACTTTTGGAGCGCAACATCAACCGCCGAAGTTCCCAACGACCCCAAACAGATCGCAGAAGACTCCGACCTTACCCAGAACTCACTGTCCGCATCATGCTGGATACATCATCCCAGAAGTTATTCTATATCACCGTTTCTGCATCCTCTTCTGCTTCGTCTGCCAACGCGAAGAATCCGAGCCCTCGATAAGCCTCGACGATACTCATCGTCTCTTCTTCTTCCCAGTCTCGAAACCGGTCAAGTACAACCAATACAGCAGAATCAACCCATCCTCTCTCCCTGTTGGATTTCACGATTGCCCTTAAGATCGTACGCACTGCAACGTATTCTCCTGGCCCGCCAGGATACAACAATTTTTCTTCCTCGAGCGACGTTTCCCTTTGGCTCATATCGGAAGATTGCGCGGCCGTACGTAATGAGTCTTTGTAGCAAGGAAATGCTTGCTGGAAAATGTCTGCCCATGCAAGACCTGTTGACAACCTTCCAGTCGCATCTTCTCGTAACTTGCGAAGTATCACGAACAGCTTTTCGACGATTTCGTAAAGCGTGTCCGTCAAGCCAGTAGTCTTTAACAAATGTTCCATGAGATATATTGCCTCCCATTTCTCCTCTGCCCAGTTGTCTGAGAGAGCAGGATCAAGACACTGTAGAGCGAAATCTCTTTTCGGTCTAGGGCGTTGGCAAAGACCCATGCGGCAGTTGGGGCATGTAGCTTCGTCACTTGGACCGTCCCTCAGCCAATGGTCGAGACAGTCGCGGTGGAACTTATGGCCGCAGGGGGTCGCGACGACGTCTGGCGCCACGTCGCTCAAAGCCTCGCGATATGAGATGGCGCAGATGGGGCACTCATCGTCAATGTTGTTGGATGTGCAGGCAGTGAGACTGGTGGTGTAAAATGTGTAGAGGGTTGGTATGGCCATGGTGGATACCTGTGAAGTTGCGAGTGAGCTTGGATGGCGGCGTGAATGGTGACTTGAATGGCGATTTGGATTGTGGCTTCAACAGGAGATGTATGGTCTCGAAAGAAGTGTGTGCTGAAGGCTCGTTTTATACGGAATCCCGCAGAGGCTCTGTGGGATCTGAGCGAGAAAATATGGTGCGTATCCATGGTTCGCGACCAAACACCAGGCCAACCAGCGGCCTGAGAAACGGATGCCTCGCCAATAACATCCTGCTTACTGGCGGCCAAGACAATGAATAGGGATACGCCTATTATTCATGGCTGAAGCATTGTCAACCCCACACACCACGACTACGTCTTGCGGTGAAGGCGAGCGTCACCCAATCGGGCAACCCTGGTTTCTCCGCAAGCGGACCCTGACCCAGTCCACCAACTTGCTTCCTCTTCACTACCTACAATCACACTCAATACCAAAGAACTCACACCCACCAACCCGCACCATGGCTTTACCCACCCGCACCGAGTTCTATCGCGACCATCTGACACCTTGTCGCATCCTCGCAGGCACCCCCAAGTTCGCAGACATCGGTATCTGCGTCGTCTGCCAAGAGGACTTCAACGATGCGTCATATGACATGGTCGCCGTCAAAAGCTGTTCGCACGTCTTCCACCGCAAGTGCATCATCCAATGGACGGAGACCTGGGGCTCTCCACGCGACAAATGCCCTTCGTGTAGGGTGTCGATGTACCAGTACACCCCAATGACGGCCCATGAGATCCAGGCCATGCAAGAAGCGCAGGCAATTCAAGACGCTGAGAGCCGGCTATTAGAATTGGGTCCGTACGCTGCAGCTAGAGAAGCTGAGCGCCTCTGGTTCGCGTCCATGGGAGTTTCGGTCGAAGATCTCCCCGCCTTTGACGACATGACTGAACCGACACACTTTTCTGATGAAGACGGCGAGGAGATTGCGACGTCATTGGACATGGACGTCCATCCGAATTTGTCGCTGCAAGTCCCGACTTTCGCGGACTTTGGAAGCGCATCGCCAGCATACTCTCCAACGTTTCCAATGTACTCCAACGCATCACTAGGAGAATCGCCCACATCACCAGGATACTCTCCCCCCTCTCCGCAATTTCCTCCCACATGGCCACTGTACTCTCAATCGACGCCATCATATTCCTCCGCGGTCCCGATATTCTCCGATGCATCGTTAGGAGAATGGCCCATATCGCCAGCATACCCTTCGTCAACGCCGGCTGTACGAGACGAAGGGAGTCAAACAAACTCGGAGGAGCCGGCACAACTGACGCAGATGCGTGGACTCCTCTACAACGAGTTCACGATAGTGAGAGAAGTCTCCAACGTCGCTGTTGTTCACACAGTCCTACCATCCTTACCGAACACATACCTTCCGGTGACCTACCACGGCAACAGCGAGTACCAGATCGAGGCGACAGTACGTGGCGCGATTGGATACGTCTTGGTAGGTAGAACTGCGTTATTTTACTCTTGATTGGAGAGCGCGAGTGGGGAGGAACGGTTTGGTAGCCAACGTCATCTCGATCTGAAGTCTTTATCATTGGGAGAGGGGGCGTCACCTCATACGTCGCTCGGGCAGATAGAGACTTGTATATCGACAAACTTCATCATTTCCACATGTACCCCCCTTTGGTCCTCGTCATGTTGCGCTGTGATGCGGCAGTGCTTGCATCGAAAACCTCCTTTCACTTCTACCATAATCCAGTCACTGCACAAGCATTGCGTCATCGAATGCTATTGTTCCTGAACAGCTCCGCCCGTCGCATTCACTTTCGCACACCAATACAATAGACTGTCGTTACAATAGCAGTCTTCTCCTCTCAATAAAGCTTGAGCCAGGTCTGGACCTAGATCATCTGCTTCTCATCACCACTGTCTCCTCAACTCTGATCCCCTCAATCCAGTCTACGACATTGCGATTTTTATACGCACTATATTTGCACTTCATTATCCAATAGTCACTCAAAATCGCTACACCGCAGCTTCCGAGAATGTCGGCAACCATCCCTATCGCACCTACCGCCGCTGTCATTGTGAATACTCCGCGTTCGCGCTCAACTTCGCTGGACGAAGTAGCGCCAATTACGCCTCACCGCTGGTCTTCCAACGCCTCCGACAGCAGCAATGACGACGATCTAGATGATCTATTCGAGGACGAGACTACCTGGGGTCTCGACTTACCGCCCATTGTGAGTCAATCTGTGCTCGCTTCCATCAACACTTCTGATCCAGTTTCGCAGCCTACATCTTCACCCATCTCCTCTCCCGACGAAACCCACGTCCCTACTACCCAGAAGCGCAAACGCGATTCCGATACCACCGACTCCTCCTCCTCCGACTCCTCCTCCGACTCCTCCTCCGACTCCCCGCTATCCAAGAAATCCAAACCCGCCGATGAACATACAGACAAGAAGACCTCAGGCAAAGAATCCGAAGCCACCCGACGATACCGCACCGCCGCCACCGCCGCATCCCTAAAGCCATCCACCACCACCGCTCACAAATTCCTCGACAACATGAGAAAGCAGCGCTCAATCCCCACACCCCGCTACATTCCCACCGGCGCCGAGCGCCGCACAGAAGTCAACGCACTCGCAGCCAAGCACGTGCGACACGTCGCCCCCGCCATGCTCGCCAACAACAACAGCAATCGCGACGTCGGCGGCGCGATGACAAAGTTTGACTGGGCTGAGACGAAGTGCGAGATCCCCGCCTCGCAGATCAAGACACCTCCAGCTTCATCCACATCCACGGTTCAGTTTCAGAAATGGGTTGATGAAGAGGATGAGCATGTGACTTGGCTTGTCATTCCCGCTTCACGCAAGTTTATCAATATGGAGGGGAGTATGGTGCCGGTTGTGGATATCGTCAACAAATCGATCAAGTATCCGGAGTGGACTTTTGTGGAGGAGATCAAGGGGCTGCATTGGAGGACTGGGAAGGAGGTGGTTAAGGCGGTGAAGGTGAAGTTTGAGAGGTTGACGGGGGAGCAACAGATTGAGCGGATTGATGTTATGGTTAAGCAGAAGAAGGAGGAGGATAAGCAGGCGAGGAAGGATGAGGCTGCTAGGAGAAGGACGGAAAAGAGAGAGGAGAGGGCTAGGGCGAGGGCTGAGAGGGATATGTAGGTAGATGGGCGGGCTGAAGTTGGGATTAAGGATAGGTTTGGCGGCGACGGGTGTCGCTCGCTTGTGTTTGAGGATGAGGATGCATGACTTAGCTGGCTACAATGAAATCACGTCACTCCCGTTTGTACATCCCTAGATGCACGTATACCTCAAAATCTCGCATGTATAATCTAACAATGCGTTTCGACGCTGTTGTAGACCTATTGTACATCTACCATCCACCCATCACACCAGCAGAGTACCTTCACAGCGTCCAAAACACCATCATTCTATACGCGTATTTCAAGACTTCACTTCACCACTACCAACAAACCTTCACCACGACACCACCCAATCCGGCTACCCACAATATTCTCACTTCACCAAATCTCACACCCGCAACGTTTTCACAGCATGACCACAACCAAACCCGTCGCAAAATCGCCTTTTGGAGGTGGCGCTTTCAAGGATCGAGACTTGGCCAATAAAGCACTTGAAAGCGAGAAGAAGTTGCGAGAGTTGATGGGCATGTTGCTTGAAGCCGTACAATCGTTAGCACAAGAGCTTGAAGCTGATGATGAGGATGAGTGGGAGGATGTCGGCGATGATGACGAGGAAGAGTGGGAGGATGTCGACGATGACGAGGAGTTGGAAAATGTCGACGATGAGAATGATTGGGAAGATATCGACGATGAAGAGGATGACGAAGAGTTGGAGGATGTTGAGAATGCCTCCTCCAACTCCTCCTTATTCTTATCCCCCTTCTTATCCAACAACCCCCCTACCAAAGACTACCCCCCTATCGGCCACCTATCCTTCGCTACCATCGAAGAAGCCCGCACCGCCTACTATTCAACCTTATCTCAGGTAGAAAACCTTCTCGTAAAGTGGTATCACAAGGACGATGTAACAGCAGTTGTCAAGACCTTGATCGAATCTGCCCAGGCATCTTATGCGCAGCAGGAGGAGTTTTGGAAGGATAGGCGCATAGTTCAGGAGTGGTTCGGAGGTATGGATGAGTAGAGGAGGGTTGTGGTAGCTATGGTAGGAGGAGATGGGGATGAGGTTGTGGATGAAGGAAGGAGCGTGGATGCGGGTATGTATTTGCCTGCCTGTGTTTGTAGCGCCACATGATGGTTTGCGCAGAGAATGCAGTAGTTATAACGGAGAGATTATGTACAAACAGGTCCTTCCATAAAGTCCATCTATAGTGCAGTGATAGTGCGGTCTTCGGAAGGATGCAGCTATGGGTGACACTGACACTAATCCCTTTCTGGACTAGCTCAAGACCTGACAAGCGAGCGAATGAAATCTGCGAATGACTGTGATGATTGCCATTTCTCTCATCTGAGGAGTGACATTGCTTCGGACGGTTGGAGAGGCTAGTGGTGATTTAGTATATACCTGTGATATGGATCTGGTGGAATAGTTGTATTCGAGAAATCGGTGCTGGCCCGCATACGTATTTTGATTCCATCGAGTCTATGTTGAAAGCAACGGTAGAAATACATGAGGATAAGGGTGGGTGCAGGGCCCTGCTGATCGGTGTACGACTTTGCAGGGTATACGAAGGTGAATGAGGATTGAAGCGGAGCATAACCAATAAACTGGTCAAGCTTTGCGAATGAGAGAAGAGGTTCTTGGAGATGCGATACTTCTCTCTTTCGTAGAGTGTCTCCTAGCGTATGAGTCTTATGGAATGCGGGAGGTGTGGTTGGGTCGTTGTCTCTGGGTCGCCTCTGGGTCATCGCAGTACCATGGGATTGAGTAAGATAAGAACAAGCAGTTGCAGGACGAACAGAACACGTTGTCTATAGACTAATACTCGTACAAAACTACCGTAGTGTAAGGAAAAAAGAGTTACATCGGTCTTCGCGCGTCTAGTCAATGAGCAAGCTATTCAACCTCGCCTCGGTAGCAATAACATCCAACGCCTGCTTAACCTCCAGCACCCGCCTACACTCACCCAACCAATCCTTACTTAGCACCTTAGCCCAACCCTGCAGGCCATTCATTTCCCTAGCCGCAGCATCGAGATCACCCTCCTCAAGCAGAACCTCAGTCCGTGCAAGCACAGCCTCAACATCGCCACCAACAGCCAACCCGGACTTCTTGAACAGCACCTTCGACATGGCGAGAGAAGCGAGGTGGGAAGCCACACCCGCGTCTTCAGGGAGGAGCGCCGCTTTCCTGACTTCAGAAGCGACGCGACGGAAGCGGTCGATTAGGAGGGCGGAGCTGGGGATACCGCGTTGGTAGGCAGCGGGGTTGATGCTCGCGATAGCGGCGCTGACGACAGGGTCGTCCTGGGCGATTTCCTTGAGCGCCGCGAGCTCGGTGACAAAGGGCTTGGGGATGGCTTGTGTCTCAAGAGCCGACTTGACGGCCTCGACGGCGACGACGAGGTGCTGCGTCTTGAGGTTGGCGTCGACGACGCTGTTCCACTCGGCCGTCAGCTTCTCCAGCTCGTGCACGGACGAGGAGAGCTCGTTGAGCTTGCCGAGACGGCCGTCGCGTTCGGCTTCGACGCGTTCCCGCACGTTGGCTGTAAAGGACTTTTGCATGTTGATGCTCTGTTCCAGGAGTTGGTTCTTGAGCTTCTGGTCGTAGACCTTTTGGGCGGCCTGGAGTTCGGACTGGAGGCGCTCCTTGTAGGACTGCGACAGACGCTCGCGCTCGTTCTCGAATTCCTCCTTGAACTGGGCTTCTTGCGCTTGCATCTGGTGGTCGAGGCGCTGGACGAGCTCCTTGGCGGCCTCGTCGAATTCGGCGTGGGCGGCCTTGACCTTGTCTTCGGTCTGCTTCTGGAGGCTCTCCTTCATCAGGTTGATGTCGGAGACGACCTTGGCGAGCTCGCTCTTGGCCTTGTCCAGCGCAGAGTTGTACCTGCCGTCATGGGCGTTGTCGGCGTTGATGACGGTGATGATGTCGTTAACGATCTTGACGACATCCTGGACGACGGGCTCGGTGGCGGAGGGTACGCTGAGGTGGTCGAGCTGGGAGATGGGCGTGGCGGTCTCCTTCTTGACCTCGACCTCCTTGACCGGGGCCTTCTTCTCCGCGGGCGCAGGCGTAGGAGAGGAAACCTTGGGTTGTTGTCCGCCCGACTCGGTCTTGTCCTGGGGCTTGTTGGCATCGACGGCGCTCAGATGGGGGCCCTTGGAGGCGAGATCGCTCTTGTTCTCCTGGGCTGGGCGCGCAGTCAAGCCGCTCCGTCCGGGGATGGTGACCTTGTTCTCGCCCGAGATCTGGGGGTGCAGTCGTGGTTCGCCAGCGCGGCCGGGGAATCGCCGCCTGAACTCGCGCTCCTCGAAGTAGGCGACGGCATCCTCGCCGTAGGGGATGTATTCGGTGAAGAAGTCGTGGAAGTTGTCCGACACGAGCGAGTACCAGACACCGCCGGCGTACCCGAGGCCAGAGAGGACCGTCAGCCAGAGCAGCAGCTTGCGGAATATGCGTCTCTTCTTCTTGGGCTTGGGCTGGATGGGGTCGGGGGCGATGCTCGACGATCCGGGGCCGGTGGGGGGTGTCGTCTTGGGCGATATGGCTGGAGCATCACGCGATGCGCCTGCCGTCACGGTGCTATCGGGCGCCGGCGGTGCCTTGGGGATGTCCGAGGTGGGGATGGTGCCCTTGGGGTCGGAGGGCGAGGTGGTGGGCGCGGGATTGGGGACGGCCGTCTCGCCCAGGTTCTTGCTATCGGCGTAGCAGCGCTGGGCTGGGAGCCATTGCGGGCGGGCGGCGCGGGCCAATGGGCGGGCAGCTGGACGGGCCCGTAGGATGGAGGCGCGCAGCATAATGGGCTGCCTCCTTTGGCGGATGGGTGATGGGGGAGGCAATTCGGCGTTGTTGATGGGCTGGACGTCTGCCAACATGAAGATTTGGAGCTCGACCAACACGTCAGGGTGCACGGACGCTTCGGCAGTCCCAGGTTATCGCCCGCCGCACCCACATGCTCCCACGACAACTCACCACCACTCCAAATTTGATGACAGCCAACAACATGCTGTGCCAAATCCACTCACACTCACTATCTTGCTCAATGACTAACCGCAGCTTCACTTCGGCTTCCCTTTCCGCGCGAGCCCACGGTTACTGATCCAAACTTGCAGCCACCACTCACAGCGCCTCTCGTTATTCTGGTCGAGAGCAATGTACGGTCGACTGCTAACGGATTCTCTCACGGATTTCTCTTATAAACTGTCGATTCTTTCTCTCTCTCTCATTTCAACCATCTCTCTCTCACACCACTTCTCACATCAAAATTCTTTCCAAAACAGACCCCAACTGAAACCAGTCAAGTCAGCACAGCTGCGCCATCTTGCAACGTCAGCACATTACGGCCACCATCACAAGTTACACCAGGCAGCCGCTTTACCAACTCTTCATCACCCGCGCACTCTCATACAGCTTTCGAGCGCCTGAGATCGTCGCAAGAACCAGACCCACCTTCCAGATCCGTCTGCAGGAGCAAATTCCGAGTGTGGCTTTGTCCTCGGCTACCTTTTCTCCGTCTCAACAAGCTACCTGCCAGCAACACCGCCAGCAACTCAAATTTTCAACGTCTGGTCAGCTGAGCATCTCACACTCCGAACACCTGTTCGCATACTACGGGCCGAGAAAATCTCCCCCAACAAAACTCTCGCACGAGACAAAGATCCCCGCGAAAACCCAAACCCCGCCAGCAACACAACCAGCGAATTTGAACTTTTCAACTCCTGGTCAGCTGAGCATACTACTCCGAACACCTGTTCGCACACCACGGGCCGAGAAAATCTCCCCAACAAAACTCTCTCGCACGAGACAAAGATCTCCGCGCAAAACCCAAACCCCCGCGAAAATTTAAACAACACCCCGCAAAAATGTCTACCACACCATCATCCCACAGCTCCGCCACCGCGCGCGATGCCACCACAAACTACTCCTACGATCTCAGCAACGCGATATACGGCGCTTTCCCACACTGCGCAATCGATATCTCGCCACGCAGATCACGCGCTGCATCTCCAGCGTCCGCATCAACATCAAATTCTTCAAAGAAGCGCGCAGGCACGGCTACCGCAAACACCACCGGCACTGCAAACCGCACACTCTGCCGCCAAGCCATAAGTCTGCACCGCGAAAACGCGCCTCCAACCTGGCTGCCTGCACCCAATTCCACCACTACCACCAATAAACGCAGTGCGCTCGCGAGACGCCAGCAAGGACAGCAAGGCATGAATATCCACGCTAGCACGTGCCTCAACCTCAATGCCAGCACCGAAGAAGACTGTTCTGAAGCGGATCTGTGGATTTTGCCTGAGCTTGACGACTGGGAAGAAGACGAAACCGAAACCGAATCTACGATTTTGACGCCTTCGAGTTCTGCGGAGTTGGATGCTGGGAGACCGGCGGCTGGGGGAATGGAGAATAAGTGGGCTGGAGTACTACGCCGCGCCGCTAACAGCAATCTGGAGCGACTTCGGATGAGAATGGAGGGTGAGGGGTGGGATTTTGTTAAGGCCGCCAACCAGGACGCCGAAGATCTGGATGAGGAATTCGACGTCGTTATTTGTGGCAAAGAGTAGGGGGATGAGTATGCCGGGCGACTACGAGGGGGTTCACGATTACGATTTGTACGATGTTTATTGGCGGGAAAGCGACATCACCATTTATGATACCCAATTTTTGATAGAGTTCTGGATGAATTGTATACCTCAAACCACATCGTTCAAAAATTTGTACACGTGAATGGCGATGATGTATACTTCAAACCACATTTTACATAACCATGTTGTTGTGAATGTTCCTATTGTATCCCTCAACCAAGATTATTACAAAAACATACTAAAAAACTTCTAATTATACATCTCATCCCAAGTTCCCCCAGCCCAATACCCCCCTTCCCCCATCTCCACCCACACCACCCTTCCCTCCCCCTCCCCCTCCCTCCCCTCACACAAACACCACCTACTCAATCCTCTTCTTCCCCTCCTCCAACCCCAATAACCTCGCATCACTCTTGCCCCTCTCATGTTTCGCCGCCCCTCCGACCAGCGGCCCCACAACAGGATTATTCCTTACTTTGGCCAGCGTGTCCTGGAAGGCTTCGATTTGGGGGGGTTGGCGGTTGAGTTTGGGGAAGTTGACCTATTACAAATTAGCACGGTTTGACGCAGAAAAAGTATGGGGGTGTGGGTAAATGGAAAGGAAAGGATAGGAAGGAGAAAGGAAGGAAAAGAGGAAACTTACATATAACGTCCCGTGATTCCAGATGAAATTTGCGCAGATACCCGCCGTAACCAGCGAAATCAGAAGGAGTAACCGTAACGGCCAGACCGTAGCATCAGGTGCGCGCTGAGTGAAGCTGCCGACGAAAATGAGAAAGACGGCTGCGGCGAGGATGTAGGGTATCGACTGAATGAACAGGGGTCTGCGATCCGCAAAGAGGAGTTGTCCACTCATGCTAGAATCGCTGGGCAGGTAGTTACCCAGGAACAAATCGAATGCATCCTGTCTCGGTCCGTCGGTGAAGTTATTGAGACAATATCGCGTAATACTGTTGTTTAGATCCTGCAGCGCACCAGCCTTTGTCCTTACACCCAAGCGGGTGAAATCGGTCTTCAGGGCTCCAGTACCAGAATATGATTTCGACACCACATCCGCGTTATCGGCCCAGACGTTGCGGAACAAGTGTTCGAAGGCGGCGTCTTCTTCTGCGGACTCGCCTTCGCGCATCAGACCGCAGTCGATGAGCATGCGGCTGAGAACGTAGCGGCCTAGCATACTCTGCACCACATTCGTGCGGTCGAGACAATCCATGCAGTTCGTGCGTACGACAGCCGTCTGGTGCCGTCGGACTTCGACGCCGCTGCCATCACCGGGCATGTCGACGCCGCAGAAATAGCCGTGTTTGAGGATGTGGGGTTCGAGTTGGTTCATGAGTAACTTGGCGCGGTCCCACCGCAGGCCCTTTGTCTCGTTGTGGAAGTCGAAGTAGACGTAGTGGAGGCGGTCGTATACGGTTTGCGCCTTTGCGGGGTCGATGATGTGGAATTTCTCAGAGGTTATGCGGTCGCCTTCGACGTTTTCGGCGGGGGAGGTGTGCAGCAGGTTGACCATTTGCTCGTAGGCTTCTTTGACGCGCTGCTCGCGGCCTTTTTGGTTGACCAGGTTCACCATCCAGTTGTCGCCATAGAGCCGGATTTGCTCGGCGAAGTGCTTTTTGGCGGCTGGCAGCGCGTTGTCGATGCCGCGGACTTGCAGCTTGGGCGTGTATTTTAGGGTGTTGATTTCGGCCCAGTAGACGGGGACGCTTCCTCTTGTTTGCACGTACGCAAGCACCTGTGTCTCCTTGCCGGCATTTCCACCTGCTGCGCCGTTCTGGTTTGAGCCGAATCCGCCAGGGCCGCCCGATGCGTTGTCATTCAGGATGATGGTCTGTTCCGTCTCGTTGAAGTTGGACACGTTGCCGTTCTCGTCGATGCCGCGCGAAAAGTAGCGGGTTCCGGCCTTGAGGCGCGAGCGGCGGGTGATGAGGATGAAGGTGAGAGGGGTGCCCTTGATGGATGTGTTCTTGATTTCGAGCATTCCGTACATGACGGGCAGGATGTAGGGGTCCGCGCCTGGCTGGTGTCCGCTCGAGTGCCTGCCATATCCGCCGCTGAGACCTCCGCGGAAGTCGATCAGGTCGCTAGACACGAAGCGGTTCCAGTAGAAGCGGTCGTCTGCGCGCTTCCACAGGGGCGTCGCGGGGTCGAGGTGGGCTTGGCGCTGGAAGGTGTTGGTGATGTCGAAGGAGTAGGAGAAGAACAGCGGGGACGTCTTGATGAGCGTCTTGAGCAGGCTGAGGTAGTTGTCCTCGTCGGCGTCGTGCAGCGGCTTCTCGCGCAGGGAGAGGAACTCGGTCGTGACTATCTTGTAGATCATGTGGCCCTTTATCCGGCCCATGGGCTGGGCCTTGGTAATGACGATGATGTACTTGTCTTCACGTGCATCAGCATTCGTGTCCCCTGGTGCTGTGCAGGAGAGGCATACCTAGTCGCAGCTTGATCATGCCCAGGATGCCGGCAATGCTCGACACGCGCTTGGAGCCCAGCAGCTTGCCATCGTGGAGGCGGATGTCACCTGACGGGCGGTCTACCACGAGTGTAGGGGCCGAGGGCGACGAGGGCGACGAGAAGGCGTAGTGCGAGGGCGACGAGTGGACGTTGATGTCGCGGTAGGGGAGAGCGACGCTCATGATGTCGTCCACCTGGCGTGTGTGCTATACGAGGTGTATACGGGGTCTGGGCGTGGTGTTGAGTATACCTCAAGGTGTTTGGCGCGATGTGTTTGGATGCGTTTTCTCAAACGGGAGGTTTCGTCATGGCGGCCATTGCGGCCAAGGGTCCCCGACTCGCGCGCTAGGGCCAAGCACCAGACGCAGCACCTCGTCACAGCACCATCCAGCTCTTTCACCCTCACCACACCCCAACACGCCTCTCGATCCCATACCCCGACCCGGTCCCGCCTTGACCGCCCACCACTCGCACCACCACCCTCGCCCACTCTACACCACCCCCCTCCGCCACAACCCGCTAGCGCCGCGTCACCCCCATCATGTCGGCCAGGATGCAGCAAGGCCAACGGCCCGGAGGCTCCAGATTCGCACAGTTCAAGCTGGTGCTGTTGGGTACGAGATTACTATAGTATATGTATTAAGACATGACTAACCTGCCCAGGTGAATCCGCCGTCGGAAAGGTGCGCAGGCCTATCAAGGCAGCCATGACATAAGCTAACATGCCGCAGTCGTCTCTAGTATTGCGCTTCGTCAAGGTAGGACATACCACGGCCCCAAACAAGATGTTAGTATTAATGTATGCAGGACCAATTCGACGACTACCGGGAATCCACCATCGGCGCCGCCTTCCTCACCCAAACCATCGCCCTCGATGAGAACACGACGGTCAAGTTCGAGATCTGGGATACCGCCGGCCAGGAGCGCTACAAGTCGCTCGCGCCCATGTACTACCGAAACGCAAACTGTGCCGTCGTCGTTTACGACATCACACAGGCCGTACGTCCCTATCGCCCCCCAATACCTTCCCCAGACTAACACCCCCAGGCCTCCCTCGACAAAGCAAAAGCCTGGGTCAAAGAACTCCAACGCCAAGCCAACGAAAACATCATCATCGCTCTCGCCGGCAACAAACTCGATCTCGTGACCGAATCCCCCGACAAGCGCGCCATCTCCACCGCCGACGCCGAGCAATACGCCCGCGAAGCCGGCCTCCTCTTCTTCGAGACGTCGGCCAAGACAAGCGAGAACGTGAAGGAGCTCTTCACTGCTATCGCGAAGAAACTGCCTATCGACCAGGCGGGACCCAGGAACTTGAGACCGGGCCAGCAACGACAGGGCGTTAACCTCAGGCCTGAGGCGAACCAGACTCAGGGGCCTGGTGGGTGCAACTGCTAGGGATGAGTGAGAAGGGAAATGTTTGTTTGGTATATCGCGGGGAAGATTGAAGTGGAGATGGTAGGCGATGCGACTTGGGATAGGTCCATGCTACGTCTGGTTATCCAGTATAGCCTTCTTCGTACGTCTCTCAGTATGTTCATTGTGGGACATTGGTGGGCTTATTTGGAGTAAAGGGTTTGTGTTTAGTCGCTCGAAGTCCATATTGCTTTGTTCACTCAAGAGAAGATATTTTGGGGCTACTTGCACCGATTTTTAATTAATGAATTTCGACAATCAGTTTCGCTCCTTTGCTTCGCCGCAGTCTTTCTATCGCCGCTTCCTCAATCCTAGCTCGTCTTCAAAGATCTTAGTTATGATCTCTCCGTCCTTCTCCTTGGTAGCCTTACTCTTGGCATATCCGTCCGCCTACTCTGCATCCTGCTCCTCATCCTCATCATCTCGTGCATCCCCCTTCTTCTCCCCATCCTTTTCCCCCTTTTCCTTCTCACCCTGTCCGTGTTTCTCTTCTTTCCCCTTATCTTTCCCCTCATCCTTCTTCCTCTCGTCGTCCTTGTTTCCTCCCGCATCTCGCTTCCCTCCCGCTCCCACGATTATGCTATCTTGTGACATGTTTTAGCTGATGAGTAGTGTGAGGAGCGTTGCTTAGGGCTTGTCTTCGGGCGGTTTTGGGCGGATGAGGGGAGTGGGTGTTGGTGTAAGGAGGACGGGATGTGGATTGTTATAGTGGGGGTTTATGGTGGGTGGGTTTGCGCTGGGGTGATTGCGGGATTGCTGTGCTTGGTGTTGCAGGTGGATTTAGAATGGTGTGATGCGTGATGCTGGCAAATATGTGGTTCGTGATATGTGAGATGTGAAAGCTTGTGGAAAGGCTCTGAGGATAGCTATGCCATTTGACAACCACATCTCGTGCGATCTAATCACGAGACTACTTTTAAATGCGCGAAGCATGCTTCGGAAGTACTTCAAAGCCACATCTTCGCCTAGACGTTGAAGCCAGCTCCTTGACCACCTTAGTCAAAAGTCACCCACGTCCTCTTTCCCCCGACCGTATGACAAATGATCACCCACCGGTCAACTGCTACATTATCAACAAACAAACCCGGTACACGAGTCCCATGCCACCCATA